CCCAGTAGGGGCACACGCCCAGGTTGTGGGCTCAATCCCCAGAAGGGGAAAGTGCAAAAGGCAGCCAATCAATGATTCTTTCTCATCATTGATGTTTCTCTCTCTCTCTCCTTCTCCCTTCATCTCTGAAATCAATAAAAATATGTATTTTTAAAGGTGCACAGAGAATTACTAAATTTTCCATGAAAATCTTTCCTATTCTACCAATAAATTACCTCTCACATCTATCTTTTTCATGCTAAAGACAACTGCCTTACATGAGTTCTCTATTATTTCTTGCCTAAAGTTTTCACTAACCTTCTACATAGTCCTCCATCTTAATTTTCTTCCCCATCCAATCTATGCTCCTTCTACTGGAGTTAATCATCTAAAACTTTCTAACTATTTAACTTGAGTGACTCTCTACTGACTCTAGAATAAAATCAAACTACTTAGCATAATACACAGGCACTTAAACAGCTAGCCCCAACTTTCTAGCCTCACCTTTTGCCATTTTTTCAGATCTATCTTTCACTCTAAACATAGAAGTACCTTTCAAACATCTGTGCTTACAGCCATGCTATTCCCTTCCCTTTTCTGACTTAATGTCTACTTATTCCTACTTCTTTCTTAAAGGCCTGATAAAAAATATCCACCTTATTCCAAGCACCTATCAAAGTCAGCTCAATGAGTTGAAAATCAAATGTTAAGTCAGGAACCAACAAATGGCATTTATTGCATGGATGTATATATCTCTTATAAGCCTCTTTAGTACATTTCTGCTGCTTTTCTGGGCTCAAAATGAAAAACCACAAGGAATATTTAGACACTTTTTGCTTTGTAAAAACACATTCCAGAGTTGGTATTAAAAGGATATTAGAAATGGAGTTATAGTTGCCATTCTATTTAAATAAGTAGAACCTAAAAGTACATTTATTCAGGGAGAAACCACCCTTCCAAAAGAAGGGAGTATATAGGTAGCCATATTATGATTTTAAGAAAAGGTTATTCAGCCTCTGAGCTGTTTGTTCGAGGGGTGGTTTTATTACCAAATATATACTTATGCAAGATAAGGAGAAGAATATTCTGGGGTAATTCTCACCCTGAATGCTTTTAGTAACAAGGAGCTCTTGGTACTCAATACTTTTAGTAACCAGAAAGGAAAATAAAGAAATTAAAATGTTAAAAATGTGGTATTGTGATAAGTGTATTTACTTACCTCAGGAAAATCTGGCAAAGTTCCTGTTTTATTTACAAACGGAATATAATTAGATTCACTATCTTCCCCAACTTGGGAGAAATAAAAGGGAATTATATTGATTCTTATGCTTTCCATTTTCAGGTAAGCATCTAAAAGTAATAACAAAACCATCCAGCCCTAACCGGTTTGGCTTAGTGCAGTGATGGCGAACCTATGACACGCGTGTCAAAGGTGCCACTCGAACTCATTTTTTTGGTTGATTTTTCTTTGTTAAATGGCATTTAAATATATAAAATAAATATCAAAAATATAAGTCTTTGTTTTACTATGGTTGCAAATATCAAAAAATTTCTATATGTGACACGGCACCAGAGTTAAGTTAGGGTTTTCCAAAATGCTGACA